CAGAAAAAATTATTAGGTTACCTTAGAAAAGTTTTGGGTCATTCGGATCAAGTGTCGGATGACTTCGGGTCCTCCATCTAAGACCCGATTTGGTGGCTGATAGGCATCACTATATCTCCGCTGATTTGAGATAATAATGCACAAAATCTGATGTTTCCCTGAATAGTTTAACATTTTTTAGTAAAACTGTCAGCAAACATGTATTTTGTTAGGGAAACCGTCAAAACTATGAACGGATCAGCGGATCAAACGAATCATTCGGATATGCATATTTTGAGAACAGTTTCTGATAAAACTCAACTCTATAAACGCTGAAAGTTTCAAGTCTTAACTCCGTTTACCACGGTGCTGCCCCGGCTCACACGTTCGGTCTATAAACTCCACTTCTCATTCGAACAGCTGAATGTATTTCATGGAAACTTTTACATAGGTACTTCATCTAAGGGAAGCCGTCAAAACTATGAACGAATCAATCGGATCAAACGAATCATTCAGATCATTTGTAGAATAATGTGAAGCGCTCATCTGTGATGTTTGTATAAGAGAGAAAATATATAAAATCTATCGTTTCTATCGTATCTATCGTATTTATCGTATTTTTTCCTATATACTTACTATGATCTGAAAAGCAAACAATTTTCGAATGTTGCTTCTGATCCTTCACAACCACAAAGACAACGACCAACTTATTCTGCTGCTGTCTCTCACCAGACGTGTCAAATTCTCAAGATCAAAATGAATTAATTAATGATGAAGTATTGAAACAATTATCAGCGCTTGGATAAGTGGTACATTCATTAAAATATACAAATATACAAATGATATACAAATGTTAACTGATAACTTCAAATCTCAACTAGTGTATTTTAATCAAATGATAAGTAACATTCATATTCATCTGAATAAATTCGTGCAACAGTTGATACCAGTATTATTAAAAATGACAAAAAATAACAAGATAAAAGGCGATATAAACAAATGTGCGAATATTTTTAATTCATTACCTATTTTTAATTACAATGTTAACCCTTTCTCACTATAACAACAACAATCTCAATCTGTCTCTTCGTCTCCAAATCTTAATTCTGCGATACCAAATCCTTCGAACATTTTTCCAATGAGCCCAGTAAAAAGTAATACTCAGGTAAATAACAAATCATGAACAGTCGATTTATGTGCCTGAATATCAATAGTTTCAATGCGCACTACACAGAACTTTTGGATTTAGTCACAATTACGAAACCTGAAGTTTATGTTTAAACGAAAGTTTTTCCTTTGACGAAAAGCTGTTTGTTAAATATTTCTCCGCGTACAATCATATTTTTAAAAATGGCACGAATGTAAAGGGCGGTGGTGTAGTCATTGCGATCAAGAAACCTATTTCCTTTAAAATCATCGATCTACATTTTTCAGAAGAAGTACTCGGTGTTGAGTTTACAAAAGCATCCATTCCAAATTTTAAATTCTTCATATATTATGCTTCACCTAACTCATATTTTAACCACAACTTATTTGATGCTATTGCTAATTCATCTCCTTGTCTACTCCTCGGGGATTTAAACGCCAAAAGTACTCTGTGGGGACATACAAATTCTAACCCTCGCGGTATTCATATCGAGTCTTATACCGATAGTGGAATTATCTCTCTTTTGAATGACAACACACCCACCCATTACTATGTACGAAACAATGTTCCCTTCAAAAATATTTTTTGATCGCGCGCTCATTTCGTCAAAGATTATTAATCTATTCTCTTCATTTAATGTATCGTCTCATTGGGCCAACGTAGGTCACATGCCAGTCTCGGTCGATGTTTGCTTTTCTCTCGACACCTCCTTCTCTTCTATTATAAGTTCTTTCCCCGTCAAACATACTGACTGGGACGTTTTTAAGCATGAATTATCTGTCGTGTCTAAGGTTTCGGGTACTTTCCCCGATGTCTGGAAAATACAAAAAATTAAAATGATATTAAAGAAGGATAAAATAAAAACTGATCCAAACAGCTACCGGCTAATAAGTCTTCTTTGTAATCTTTCAAAATTATTCGAGCGCTTAATTTCACTACGATTAATTTCATGGCTAACACATAACAACTTAAGGGCCTCCCTCCCCTCTAAAATTTTTTTTCCCAGAACACTCAATCTTACTGAAATTTTTACTGAATATATATCTGACCATTGATAGTTCTCAGTAAAAATTTAAGCTCATAATATTGAGTTTTTCGAGACAATTTTTTCGAAAAACCTAGATTAATTTTTTTGGAAAACTCGAGTTTTTTGTAAACAAATAAATTGAAAACAAAAATTCCATCTTTGTTAGGTTGTAGCGCTGATATTTACCTTCATTTTAAAACCTTCCCGAGCTTTCTAACATTTAAAATGGCGGAGAAATCTTTGACGTACAATCAGGTAAAAACAAAAAAAACAGTTTCGAGAAAAACGCAAAACAAGTTTCTCCTTTGATTATCGCGGTTTTTTTGGAAAGTGGTACAGAGAAAAGTCTGGGAGCAGTTCGTCGTAGGTTATCGGCTATAGCGAATCGAATGAATAAATGTAGAGACATATGCGACGTACTTTTTCCTATATGTAAGCGTTATTCCCACGGAAAAACCATAAAAAACCAATCAGTTTTTGATGTTGGGTGCCTCAGAAAAACCGCTGTAAAACCCTCAAAAACCATCGTAAAACCAATAAATCATAGTGCATTCGACGCAGATATATTGGGCTATACAATTATGCATAAATGTCCAAATCGATTTTTTTGAAAAATGCTTTTTTTGAGGGATGGGGGGCCCTTAATCCTCTTAGAACAGAGTGAAGTCTGTAAAGGTCGTTGTACAGTTGACCAAATCTTAAATTTAATTCAACAAACTCAATGTTCCTTTAACGAAAGCCAACGAACGGCAGGGATTTTCATTGATTTCGAAAAGGCTTTCGATAAGGTGTGGCGAAACGCCCTTCTGTTCAAATTAAAAAGTAAAAAGTGCCCTGACCGTCTTTTTAAGATATTACTTTCCTATTTTAATTCCGTGTTTTAATAACAAACAAGGTGAAAGATTGTTACAAATTTTTTGTGATAAACTATATGATTATTGTAAACGTTTGCGCCTTCAGATCAGCTACTCTAAAACTGTATGCATGCTTTTTACTAAATGTCCAGCTAATCGAAACGCAGTTTTATCTTTGTATATGAATAACCATGCGTTAGAACAAGTAAAAATTTTTAAGTATTTAGGTTTCACATTAGATCAATGTTTATCTTTCTCTTTTCATATTGAAGATGTATGTTTACGTGCTCGAAAGAGACTTGGTGCGTTAAAGAATGTCTGTGGCAGACGTTGGGGGCTTTATCCCCATACGGCTGTTTTTGTTTACAATACATTTGTTCGTCCTCTTCTAACGTACTCTTCACCTACTCTTTTATGTATTTCTGAGTCCAGTTGGATGAAACTTCAATGTGTTCAAAATACTGCGCTCAAAATCTGTTACCGGCTTTCCCCTTGATACTCTACTACCGAGCCTCATACTCTCTCTTCATGTCAAATGCTAAAAATGTATACTCTAAAGCTCGCTTCATCTTTCATCACCCATACTGTTTTATATAATAAACTTATTGTCTATATTGTTAATTTTTACCCCTCGCATGAGCGAAAATGTGAGTTGAATCGTTTACTTCCGCGTTTAAATCCGATAAAAACAACTGTTTGTAAACTTTTAGAGCTGTAATTTGAACTAGAAATGTATGTTTTCTCATGTACAAAAGTAGAAAAATGGATTTTCTTTTCCTTTTAATGTCAAAACAAAAATGTATTAATCTCTCTATCAATTTTACATACTGCAGTGCAAGCGGACATCAGGTCCGAGCATTTCCTTTCGCAATAAATTATCATCATCATCGTTTCTTATCCATTTTATTCATTTTTTCCTATAGATTACTTTTTATTAACTCTTATATATAACACATCAAAGAACACATTAACTGTGTTAATTAATTATAGATAATATACATATTCTCTTTGGTCTTATCACTTGCTAATATGGTCTTAAACAAATAGTAAGAGTAATTTTTCGCCACCGTTGTCATGGTGGGTCTGTTCAAGTATTACATAGACTACTAAAATCTAGTTACTAGTAGATTTTATTACTATTGCTGATTTAGTATCAAATAACCTTGGGTACGATACATGATTAGAAGTTTTTTCTTATAATGTTTCAGTAATAATAATAATATACCTCAATTAACTCCTTCAGTATTATTTTATGTTTGTGAAGACATAGCGCCTTCTTATATCGTTTTCTTTACTCGCTATGTTTTTGATTAATGTGGATGCCTCTATGTGAGGGTCAAACCTTGATCGGATGTGGTTTTTAGGTGAATATGGAAAAGTCGTTAGTATAAGCGAGGTTGTTGAGTATGAAAATGTACATGGTTCCGGTGGACTGATTGATTTTATCATTGTCGATAACAGTGGTCATGTACGTATAGTATGTTATAATCGCATGATTGATACATTAAATAAGATATTTCAAATGGATCAGGTATCTACATGAAGATTATAAAATAAACAAAAATATTTGTAAACAAGTTTGAAGTGAGCAGAAAGATTTCTTTACTTACTGATTGTTGTCGCTAACCTTAAAGACAAACTTAATCAAGATCAGATTTTTTTATGAACAATAATTAATTACCATATTGTCTGAAAGCATTATTCGATCAGAAAAAGGACACAACAAAATTATGGGACATACGCAGATGAAAAATAACTAAAAATTAACATTTGTTGGATTAAAAATCATCATTGATCAATAATAGTTTACCATAATATTGGTATAACTATAAACATTATAGTTAATATTCCCATACCACTCTGTATCAAGATGTTTTTGTATACATTTTGTGGCGAGAAAAGGTCGACTATTGATTTCTCGTGCCAAATACAGCGCATTATATTTGAAAAATACGTCTGATTCTTGTGTTAGCAGTTTCAATGCAAATTCTTCATCAACTTGAAAGCATCGATCAATTATACCAGCAGCATGTTCACCAAATTCTCTAAAATATTTTTTTGTTATTTATTCGTACTAATAAAGAAAAAAACTTACTTCTCTTTTTTTAGATATTCTAATTTTCGCTCGGCAGTGATACAGCGACTCTGAGTTGCAGCTTGATGATAGATTTTACTAGCAACTAGTGTAGCAACCACTGGATTCTGAAACAACTATGGATATATATTATACTAAACCAATTTTAGTCAAACACTTACCGTAGTTCGAGAGCATATACTCATTGCCAAATCGGAACGATTCATCAATATTGCCCATAAGAACAGTTCACGTATAAAATCTACAATTTACAAATGTTATGCTTATGCGAACGTTAGATGAGCTGTTTTTCATAATGTAATTTATCTCTTTTACTAATCACATTCAATTAATATTTATCAAATATAGAGAATATTCCTGAAAAAGATGCTCCTTGTCCATTGAGAAAACTTTGTTCTAGTATCACAGATTCAAGAAGAGCAGGCGTTTTTCATATGAATACAGTCTTGTAAGACACCTACCCAAGCATGAAAAAGTAAGCTAGTAGCGCCCGCTGCAACTAGCTACACTAGCTTCATAACCCGCTGCAACTAGCTGTAAAAAAATGTAAAAATATTGAAGCGGGTTAGCGGGCGCTGCAGCTAGCTGCACTAGTTTCGATACCCGTTGCAGCTAGCTGCATAAACGTACACACCATGGAGCGGGCACTATAGCGGCCGATTAGATATCTGCTGCAGCTAGTTACAAATTGTCGATGAAAGCTTAATACGATAAATAACCCGTTGCAGCTAGCTATTTTTATTAGTAGTTTCAAAGAGAAACATAAACTAGCTACAACGGCCGCTGTAGCGCCCGTTGCATCGGGCCGTAACAAATAACAGATCAAGAGCGTAGAAAATTTAAAATGAAACTCGATAGAGCTAGCTGCAACACCCGTTTCAACGCTAGTTGCAATCTAGCATCTACTCTGACTAGCTACATCGGTCTGCTTAGCGGCCGTTTCAGCTAGCTGTTATAATATACACGTTACGAAAGATGCTCTAGTTGAAGCGGCCGCCAAATTGGGCGCTGCAACTAGTTTGGCAATGGGTAATAAATGCATTATTATTTAAACTAGTTTGACTAGCTGCAACGCCCAGTTTAGCGCCCGCTACAATTAGTCCTTAATACTAGCTGCAACAAACGCTAAATTGGGCGCTGCAGCTAGCTTATCTTTCTCTTTCAAACTATCGGCTAGTTGTGAATCTAGTCGCAGCGATTCTAAAGCGTCCAGCTACCGTTTAATTTCTCTAGCTAGCGTTATCTTGAATTGAATCTTGATGTGTATCTGATGAATAAATAAGAGCGAAATGCGGCTAAAAATTTTAATTCCAATAAAACAGTATATTTTCTTTGTTGTATTCCGCCGATGTTAATTTTAACAAGCATATTAACCATATCATAAGCAAGTATTGTCCAAAGAGTAGAAGAAGCACAAAATACGTACACCAAAAAGTTAACAAAAGCATTAAAAGTATCATAAAAAAGAGCCTAAAACCCTTTTTTTGAGCCTAGAGCTCTAGTTAGTGACGGTAGTACCGATAAGGCAATCGATATCGCATGTGATGATAACATCACGCTAGGACTTGTGTTGAATGTGTTCCCTAGAGGAACTGACGCTCGCACTGCTCTGCAATACTAGTACGGTGGGACCAATTTGGCTGTGCCCATGAAATCCCTCTATATCTACCGTACTGAACAGAAACAGTACTCGCTACATCCACAAGCCACCAGCGATACCGAAATTATTACGCCGAGGCTGCCACTATAACGATAATCACTTTTTTCTCTCCTCTTATATATTGAAATATACAACTGCAAAGAAAAAAGTGAATGACTTATCGTCCTACCATACCCAACTGACATCTGTAGCGCTGCAGTTTTCAAAGGCGGCGGAGCGTCATGAAGCTAGGTGAGGCTCATAGTATTTTTTCTCCTCTTCAGCTTACTTGTGTGAAACATGATTGCTAATGTTGAAGCATATAGCGAGAAAAGAAAAGCATTCCTGACCTGTAGCACAAACCATGAGAAACATGTCGGCATGCTGTTCTTGATGCTTAGACCTCGGTATTTCCGATTATAAATGCATTTTTTGGGTTATAAATGGATCTGAAATCCAGAAGTCCAAAACATTTGTTTTCCGCCTTTCAATGTGGTCTTGTGACTTTTGTCAGAGACCGTGATAGACATATCGACACGCTGCTCCTGCTCCTTTGTTTTTATCATGAATTGTAAACAACAGAGAGAGAGTCTTCCTGTACGAATAAAGCGACTCCATCGTGTTTCACATTTTGGTTCGGTAGGGATTGCATTGAAAGCTTTTATTGAAGAGTCAGGCCGAATATAAATCCTCTTGTTTAACTTCAGAAACAACAGAATAAATCAGTAGGACACAGAAATAATTAAAAGTACCAAAAGTCAGCTCTGTTCATTCTTCGACGTGAATATAGAACAGATGCTGTTCAAATCAACAGCGTCCATCTTTTTCTTATATGTTTGTCAAAAACGGAGGGCTGGGAGATGGTACGAAGTTTGCCCCGAGATGTTTTTAACTTACATACAAGGCTACGGCTCGCATTTTAGCTCATTAGTCTTATTATAGTTGCGTACTTTTATATCTGTCACACTTTTAGCCCCTTAAATGTTTTACTGCCTTTAGTCTCTTATACCCCTTAGCCTTTTATTCTTTTATCCCCTTACTCCTTTTAGTTTTTACTCCTTTTACTCCCTTTACTTTTCTGTTTCATGCATATCAGAACTATTACCCTCACTCTCACTTTATAACTAAAAGTAGTAAAAGGAGTAAAGGAAGTATACAACTAAAGGATATACTCAGTCATCTATAGATATAACTTTTTCATAACTAAAAAGATCTCGCGACAAACTTTGTACCTTCTCCCATCTCTGGCAAAAACACGCTATTCAAACGACTTTGTATCATTGTAAACCGAGCATGAGGCAGCCACCACGACTAATATTTATAAGAGAAGTGCATATGTTCGTTCTCTCCAAGAACAGAAACTGCTACCAGCGCATAAAAGAGCCTGAAAATCACATGTTTAAACAGAGTGTAAAGTCGAAATCTAGGTGAGGCTGAGCCTCAATTGAACGAATCTAAGTGAGGCTCGAGCCTCACGGGTCTCAGTGGCTCCGCCGCCACTGGTTTCATATAAGTCAGCTACGGCGTTAGCTGCACGTCCTGTGCCCTACATACAGAGAAAAGCCACATAACTGTGAAAGACCATACTTAGTATTTTACCGCTTTAGCTGACCTTCATAACTATGACCGGTGTTTTTATTTCGAGTGTTCTGCAAATGGTTAAAATCGACGAGTTATCACCTAGAAATGAATGAAACTTCATTAGTAATTATATAAAAGTTCGCCATATAAGCACGGCAACAAGAATAAAAAAATAACGAGCATTTTCACTCTATACCGTAAAAAAACGAGCTCTTCAGACAACAGAAAATCTGTTTTTCGTTGGTTCCAAATAGGGAACTGACATGAGTCTTCTGAAAATTTGCCAAGCTGATTTTTTCATTTTGTGGGAGAACTAAAACTGAAATTTTCATTTTTGCAGATTCCTATTTGGGACATTTGTTCTTCAAAAAACATCAAGTCGGAAGATTCACTACTGTTCTTGGTTTTCCAAGAAAACTAAATTCTAATTCTTCTTATTTTCAGTTCTCTCCGCTCGACTGTTTTAACCGTTTATATTCGCCGACCCTTTCCAAAGGACATTGATGTAATCGGTTTATAAAAGGAATAGATCATCAGCCCAAAAGACAAACTTTTTTAAGCAATATAAGATGATTCGCATATTACGGGAATACCATAATATGTCCGTAGTGACTCCCTTTTATTATTTAGTCTTTTACAAAAAAAACATCATCTATTTACATCAAAGGTACTGGGACTTTCAAAATGGAAGAAATATAATACAATAAGTTCAGACTTTATACGTCGAAAAAATATTCAGTTCAACGAAAACAACAAAAAAACAGACAAGAAACAATATATTAGTTTCATTAGCCAACGAAACAAAGCTTTGTTAAAAAAATTAACAATATCAACTAGATTTAGTTTTTTAAATAGTGTTTTTACTGCAGTTTAATATCAACCGGCGATTTTTTAAACAATGAGTGGTTAACAAATTAATTACTCTTTTTAGTAGATCCATAAAATTCAACATTAACATATGATAAAGCGCCATCCATATAATTAAATCGGTGTAACTATTATGTGTTCCATCCAACCCAACTTTATAATAAGTAACAGCCTCTGCGCATAACAATATCGATGGTCATGGCCCGTTCGGTTCCTGAATAAGATGGGTAAATGATGCATGCATGTTCCAAAAAAGCTAGTATCGGGTGTCCCACGTAAAATGGCCCTTCTTTGTTTACTCTACAACTCCGTTATTTTTATTTTTATCCAACCAAATTTTTTTAAAAAGATTTGCCGTTCAATTCTCTACAAAACTGTCGCTTTAGATTCTTTTTAGATTTTTTTGTTATTATTTAAAAGAATGAAAAGCAAGGATTTCCAAAAATGAGTACCCATGAGTATTTTCTTCGCATAAAAATTCGGTGGACCGCGGTGAGTTTTTCAACCGCCAGAAACTAGGCGTTACGGGGGACCGCGTTTTTTTATGAACCGCGTGCCATGGTAAAGTAGATTAAAACCGCGGTTTCACTCGTTTTTTTGTGACTCGCGGTCAACGGTAATCGCGTTTCACAGCGATTGCAGTAATGTATCCGGGTGGACCGCGGTTGCATATAAAATCGCGAGAAACTAGGCGTTACGGGTGACCGTGATTCTCAGGAGAAACGCGTTTA